CTGTTAGGAAAGTTTTTCTGACACCAAGCTTCAACATGGTAAGCTAATCAATGGATCACAGAGACCCAGATAAGAGAAATGTCCCTCAGATCTCTAATCACCATAGACATACTACTCTGCTGCATACCACAGACTTGTCTGGCTCTGTCCCTTACTTCAAATCTTCAGTGTCATAAAGGACCAATTTTACATATGCTGGAAAGCCTCAAATTGTCTTTTCTACTTAAATATATAGGCAGAAGTCAGAAGGCAGCCTTTCTGGAGATAGAAATAGAGTCATAAAATATGAATGTTTTGAAGGAACTTCACAGATTATCTAATCCCAACTCTCATTTTACATGTAACAAGTATATCAGGATGAGCGGTAGCATTTTTATGTGAGCCTTTACCAATGGTTAGGACCATGGACAGAGATGGCAGTCAATCAAACCTATCCTTCCTTGGCAGCTAGGTGGCCACACTCCTTCCATTTCCAGACTTTTCAGGTACTTAATAGTTATGGTTTATAGTTATGGTTAAGCAACAGTTTAATTAGGTAGGATGAAAGTACAGTAAAATGCAAAACAAAAGATGGGGACCAACGTTCTAGTCACATCCCTGGTTCAAATTCTCAAAAGCAGGAAAAACAGGGTTTAGGTTGGCATCTATTTCTCCCTAAGTCATAGTTTCTTCAGCCCAATTATTAATCATGAGAATATGAGAAATCAATATCTGATCACAAGTGTCCTATCACCCAGCTGCAGCCAAGGTCAAATGGTCCAAACTCACAATTGTAACTTCTACCTTCGTGGAGGTGTGAAGTACTGTGGTCTTGTTGGGGTAGTCTGCTACTTCCTTTCCCATCCATGAAAAAGATTCTTTTCATTCTTTCTGAAGTCTGTTGGGGGTCTAGTCTCTGAGTCAGGAATACTTTGATGTTCTTGAATACCCACCTTCATTGGGAAAGGTCAGTGCTTAAAAGTACCCAAGGAAAGACAGCCTAAACCCAGCATCAGGAAAACCAGTACACTTGCATCATCCTAGCTGCTATTTTCCTTATCTCTTTATTTTCAAAAATCTATAATAAGCTTATTCTTGATGTCTCTGCTCTTTTTCCGCCTTGACTGCCTTCTCTACCCCCCTCCATTTCCTCAACCCAGTGCTTTGTGTAGGGTACTATCCCTTTAAGGACCTTTTTATACAGAACACTTTAGGGACCCAAAAAAACCAGCAGAAAAGTACTGTTGTATTAAGAAAATATTTAAATTAACTATTAAAAGCTGTTAGATATTGACATTATTATAAATTAACCTGTTGGAACCTGAAAGAAGTAGGGAAAAAAACTTTGGTTCAATAAAAACTGCTAAATTATGTGTATGAAGAAGCATTGGTTTCAGATGGGATTTGATCAGTTTCAGATGGAAAATGAGCTCTGGAACAAATATAAAGACTTAAATCATCTCATGAAAGATGTAACATGATGCCTAGTTGTATGCAAACATTTGAAGTGTTAAAAGAACAGAGAAAGAGATTGTATTTATAGAAAAACAAATAAATAATAACAGAAACAGCTTTAAGGACACAAAATGAAATGGAGAGACATGTTGAAAACCTTAAGATATATGGGATATTATGGTTCTTCAGCTCAGTTGCATATAGTAATCTCATTACTAAAGATGGTAAAACTAAAAAAGCTTAATTATATCACTATTTGAAGAGTGAGGTGTAATTAAATAAAGTCTATTGATTTTATGGGGAAAATTGGGTGGGGGAGAGTTGTTACCTTTACAGTGAAAGGGAAGTCACTGGGGCAGCTAGGTGGCACAGTGGATACAGCAACGACCCTGAAGTCTGAGTTCAAGTGAGGCTTGAGACCAAACACTTGACATTTATTAGCTGTGTGACCCTGGGCAAGTCACTTAACCCCAATTGCCTAAAAAAAAAAAATTAAAAACAAAAGGTAAATCAGTGAGAGCCAGGAGTCTGATTTAAACCATTAAAATATATAGAAGGCAGGAGAGGAGACTGAGCTGAAGAACATGACAGAAGAGGAAAAAAAAACATTAGGAGAGCCAAAAGTAGTTTGTTGGAGCTATTGGAAGAGACCTTCGGCAAGAGAACTCAGTTGGCACAGATACTTTGGCTGCTAGTTCCTTGACTGAATAAAGACTGAAAGTCCAAGTATTGTCCTTCAGCACTATTTAAAGTTGAAGAGAGGTAGAACTTCTCAGAAGTACATTATCTTTTCCTGTCCCCTTTGATTTGAGAGGTAGCAACAGAAAGGGAAAACTGCAAAAGACAAAAATCAAAACAAAACAAAAAAACAGGGATTGCAGTTGCTTTACTGCATAAGAAGAGCTAGCTAAGCTGGTTTGCCTTTCTAGAGTAAGAACAGAATTTTATTCTAATTGGACAAAGCAGTATCCTGCCCAGTAAATACCTGACTGAGCGGATTGGTATAGCCTAAAGACAGCCAGCCTGATGAGCTTTGTAGATCTATGGCTTAAAGGAAACTATTTGTCACATTAAGGGGTAACATTTTCTAAATGCCCTTTTAAGGGTGAGTATAAGTTGTTTGTAAATGCTATATTTGAGGATAGAGAAGAAGAGAATTTTTCCAACTGGACCAACAGACAAGCAGTTAGCAAAGAAGTGTTTTTGTGTGGTGCAGATATTTCTGAATGGACCAATAAAATCAAAGCCTAGAGCCCAGTGTTATGAGTTATGAGTTATGAGCTTTTCCTCCCTCATATACTTTCCTGCCAGGTTCCTATAGGTGTATGCCCACTCTTCCCCAAAGATATTAAGTGCATTGGTGGGAGAGTATGACCTAGATTATGTGGACACTTGCTTTAATATATGAGCACCTGTGTTTTGTAATTTTGCTTTATTAAGTAGTTATTTTTTAAGATCTAAAAGTGTCATTATTGTGAGTGACTATTTGTATAAATAGAAACACATTTGTTGGGGCTAAAGAGCTAGACTGGTAAGTAGGGGGTATGTCGTATTACCATCAACAGGATTACTCATAAGACCCGAAAAATTTAAGTGTAAGTATGTGGTAGTAGTCCTTTTGTAGGAAACTAGCCCTGTTAAGGTGAGAGTATGAACAGATGTCTTTTTACATGGCCAGGTAAGAGGTATGAGGTGTTATAAGTGGGGGTGGCCACTCCATATACTCCAATAGTGTTATATATGCATCTCTGTAAATAAACTAGGTAGATAAAGGTATGCCAGAATGTTAGAGTTCTGGGAAAGAGGCTATGTCTCAGTTATTTATAGAACAGGAAATTGAGTCTCAGAGAAATGAAGTGATTTTGCTTAAGGATGGTAATCATACAGCCAGAAGGTAATCATAGAGCTAGAACTACAATCTAACACATGTATTTAGTTCTCCACTTCTCATCCAGTACCATTACCAAATTGTAAGGAAGTGTCCATACCTACTTCCTTTCATGATTTTAGTTGCCTTGGTTTTTGGGCCAAGAAATGCCAAGACCTTTACCCATATGGCAGGCATATCTTCTTTACCCAACCTGTGTTACCTTTTTACTGTGCTCCATGATATGTGCATGAGAGAAGTCAGAAGAAAGCACTAGGTGAGGTCTAAGGAAGGAAGAATCATTTCTGGCTTGGTGTGTGTGTGTGGGGGGAAAGAGGGTAGATCAGAATCAGAGAAAGCTTTATAGAAGACATTTTGTGTTGATATTTAAAGAGTGGGTAAATATCAGGTAAAGATGGGGGCGCATCTTTGGCATAGAGAATGGTTGAGGGAAAGTGGGTGGAAGGTCACCGATTCCAGCAAATGCTGGACATGTGTGGGAGACTAAACATCAGCTGCCACAGGGACACATGAAGAGCTGCAATCAACTGCTCCCAATTCTCTGGCAGGTGGAACATTCTAGTTGTTGATTATCAGCTCTCTCAATACACTGAAGATGTCCCAGAAGCACAGAGAGGCCATTACGAGTCTAGACAGATGCTTGATAATATTTGATTGCTTATTTAAATGAAAGTATCAAAAATGTGTTTCAATATCTGTCACTCTCAATCACTCATTGACTTCATTATAACTTCGAAAAAGACAATTTTGAGTTGCCGGTGATAAATTAAGACATTCTATTTTACATAAAAGAAAAGGAGGTGTGCCAATCAGGAGAACAGCATGCTATTGTTCGCTGTGGAAAAGGATCCCTAATCACTGAACAAAGCAGTGCCTTGTACTGCTGTCCTAAATAAATGTTGCTTTATTTCTGAAGCTGCCTGACCCCCTGTAGTGGTCTATGGAGCCTGTCAGTGAGCAGTCATAAGGACAAATTTTAGTTAACTCGCATGCTTGCCCTTAAGCATCCTTTGACGTGGGGCTCACTGAATCTATTGACTCCCCAGGAAGTTGGAGGTCACAACTTGTCCGAGGCACATGAGTTGCAGATAAAGAAGATGCTTTTACCCCTTGAACCAACGCCAGCAACTTTGCTAACTTCACTGTGCTCTTCGTGTCATGTGCTCACGATGAAGATTTCTACAATGCTAATCCCACTAATGAGGGCTTCTCCCAGCCATTACATAATCCCCACAAGACCCAGTGGCCTGGCAAGGTACCCCAGTACAGAGAGGGCGCTTTTTGCCTTTTGAACTGAGTTCAAGATAATTAAAGTCAAGGACTAGAAGAAGGGAGGGGGATGGTGGTAGAAATACCAGCATAATAAGTAGTATTACTGTAGCGCTTTGTAAATTAACTCAATTAAACAAAGTTTGATTTTTAACGGGGTTAACATGGTGAGAAGTGCAGCCCTCATTAAACTGAGCTGCTAGAGGAGTTTCTAATTAAGTCAAAATTGTTTGGTTGTTTCACACTTAAAGCCACATAAAACAGTGTGTGTGCATATGTGTGTGAACATGTGCACACGTGCGTGTCTTATGGTTTTGCATGTGCTCTTCTAAAAGAAGGGAGGCTAAAATAAAAAAAGACAAAGGGAAGTATGAGAACTGGAAAGAATGTAGGGAGAGAGAAAGTAATAGAAGGAGGACAAGCTAAAGGGAGAGAGAGGAATTGAGGGTTTGAGATTCTGTGAGAGAGACAGAGATTTCTCCCTGTTTTGGAGCAATGGAGAAGCAGCAGCAGGCTGGCCTGCCACGGTGGGTCACTGTCATTTGTCTGGGGTCCTGTCTCCTCCCTGTGACCTGGGCTCAATTTCCTCGGATCTGTATGACTGTGGAAAGTCTAGTGTCCAAAGAGTGCTGTCCCCCTCTGGGTGTGGAACCTGCCAATACCTGTGGCATACTAGAGGGCCGAGGACAATGTGCAGAGGTTCAAGCAGATACCAGGCCCTGGAGTGGCCCCTATGTGCTCCGGAACCAGGATGATCGTGAGCACTGGCCTAGGAAATTCTTCAACCGGACATGCAAGTGCACAGGTGAGAGGCCTGAGTGGGTTAGACCTTCCTCAGTCATTGTTCACTGTATTCCTCCATTCCCCCAGATGGGATATACTCAGGGAGGAGGGGAGAATCCCCATCTAGGAAAAATGACTTCTTACTGGGCCAGAGATGATCTTGTTATCAGAGAACATAGGGCTCACGTTCTATTTGATTTTTAGTGGGGAACCCATTGGAAAGGGTCTTAGATCTTTTGTTTTTTAGAATTTTTAACAAATAGGCTTTAGGAAGGCAGCACAGTGCAATGAACATAAAGTCACTTGCTGGCACTTGCTAGCTATTTGACCTTAGGCAAGTCACTTAACTTATCTGATCTTCAGTTTCCTCCTCTGCAAAATGGGGATAATAATTACTGTAGGACATACCTCACAGGATTGTTGTGGGGCTCAAAGGAGATACATGTAAAGCTCTTTGCAAACTTTAAAAAGAGATGCAAATTTCAGCTATTACCAAATAAATGTTAAATGGGGCAAATTGGGCACTCTGACCTCTTGCCAAATAAATGATCATTGGTTTGTTTGTAAGAAGGTGCTAAAGACAAGGCAGCAGCAAGTCGGGTACAAGTCTTTTCGAGATTTCCGAGGTTCTCTCCTTAGGAAATATGTTTGCACTTGTTCAGGAGGGAGTGGAGCTCAATTATTAGCACAAATACAAGAATCCAAACATTCTGAAACCTGTCTTCAGTTTTCCCATGTGCTTCTAAAAATATTAAAAAATTATGTAAAAGTACAAAGTGAAAACTTTACTATGTGTGATGGCTTAATTTAGCTCACATTTAATTTGTATGGTTGCCTGTACTCTATAGAGAAAAGGACTAAGTGCTGAAGGCTTTGGGACTTTACCCTGAATTTTTAGGAGCATTTTACCAAAATGTCCATTTCTCCATTGACTTAAAAGAGTTATTTCCACATGATTCCCTTGCTAATAGAGTTGCTTCTCTTTTAGATATCCCTTGATACCTGCTCAATATGGGGAACAAGGGAGTAGTCATTATGGCACTGATCCCATCCAATTAATGTTGATGATTATGATGACCACAATGATGATGATGATGATGATGATGATGATGATGATGATGATAATGATGATGATGATGACATAGCTAACACAGTACTTTACAGTTTTAAGGTGCTTTACATACATTATCTTGCTTGATCTTTACAACAACACTTTGAAGTAGGCATTGTTACTATCCATATTTTACAGATGAGGAAACTGTGACAGGGTCACACAGTCAGTAAATGTCTGAGGCATGTCCTCCCAACTCCAAGTCCAGCACTCTTTCCACAACAGCACCTGACTCTGAGTAGAACTCTGTTTAATGGCCACGCAACTGTTTATATTTTTCTAGAGGAGTAGTGGCCCCATATGCATTGTTCATGATATTTGGGATATAGAGGGCCATCTCTATGTGATGTTCTTCAGGTATGAGCTCTTCATCCCTAGATTGAAATTGAATTTAAATGTTTCCCATTATCCTTGCTTTCCCTCTGCCTTGTCTCTCAGTGTATCCTTCAATATGAAATCCAGCTTTGCTCTAGCATAAAAAAAAAAATCCCTATGACTTTTCCAAGTTTTCTCAAGTTCCCTTCAATAGAGCTCCCCTCCAGTTTTCATCCCCCTATGTACAACAGTGATAAACACACAAAAGCTGGAGCCACATTTGAAATACATAAAACACAAGAGCTAAACTTCAGAAAAGCACTTGGATGGCATTCTTAGGGCAATTGGCTTCTTTTGAGTGTAGGAGGATTACCAGAAGATTGTCATAAGTACTGTGCAGTTGGCTCATGAATGTGATTAATTTTATGTTTTCACGGAGTGAATGTTTATTTTCTCCTTTGTAGCCTGTCTATATAATAGTCATTTCCCTGATCCCTCCAGTTGCTAATGCTCAGTCTCAAATTACCTTATATTCAATTACCTGTGCATATAGAGCTCCCAGTCGGATATGAGCCCCTTGGGGGCAGGGACTATTTAGTGTTTTTTCTCAGTGCCTAGCATAGTGCCTTACACATGGCAGATGCTTATTAAATGTTTGTTATATGAACTGAATCTCAGTCATATAGTTAATTTTCTGATAAAATAAAAACATTGATGTCCTTAATATATTTCTAGATGTTTAGTTATATTATTTATATTAATAAAGTATGTTAAATGTTTATTTCTATTTCCTGAAAGGTTTGTATATTTTACGTACTAAATATTATATTGTTAGTTCTCACAACATTTCATCACATTAGTAATAGGTAGAATTACAGTTCCTATGATACAGATAAAGCATGCAGACACAAATTATGGTGTCATTTGGCTAAATTTTAAGCACTTGAAACCAAACAACATTTAGAGTAATGATTTCTAACTCAAAAAAATAGGGAGGTACAACTCTTCAAAGGTTAAGAATTTTTGTTATAAACAATATGATTAACATGTAGGTTTGCCAAAGTTATAAGTGAGAGGTAGGCATGAGCATCTCCATAGAAGAAAAGGCCACAATGCAGGGGTCTAAGGGAAATTTCTAATTAGCATTTACCTTATCCTTCTGCTGTGGCTAATGAGTAGCATTTTTCTCATATGGTCAAGGATGGGTAGAATAGAAAGGTATAGAGAGGTATAATATAGAACAAATAGTTTTAACCACTAGGTGGTATTATTGGTTACTAGCCTAATCCTATTTAACAGTCAAGGTCCTGGGAAGTCCCATGCTCACCCTAGCAGGTGAGCTCCATTTGAAACACTGAAGAAGTATAAAGTTAATTTGGTTCTCAGTAGGTGGCCTTCTATTACTCAATGCCACCTCTTTTAAGTGGCTATACTCACCTTGTTTTTCTAAAGGAGTATGGTTAGAGTGGCTTTACCCAATCAGACTAACCCTGGGGGACCACCAATTGGAAACCCCACCTTTGCCCTCTCATCTCTGGCCGTTTATTCAAATTTCCACTGGTCAAGAGTCAGGTCACTTCCCTAGTCTCTTCCAATTGAAATCTGAGTTTGGCTGCTTCCTACAGAGAAGGAGTTGAAAAGCAGAGGAAGCATTAAAGTACCTTAGCTGGTACTTAAAAATAAATAAATAAATAAATAAATATATACATATATATTCATTAAATATTTCTCAATTGCATTAAAAGTTTTTTAAACATTCATTTGAAAAATTTTTGAGTTACAAATTCTTTCCCTCCCTCTCATCCCTCTACCACCCCTTAAGTAGGCAAGGACTGTGTTATCGATTATACATGTGAAGTCATGCAAAACATATTTCCACATTATCCACATTGCAAAAGAAAACACACACACAAAACCCAAGAAAAATTAAGACAATGATAAAAGTCTGTTTCAATCTGCTCTGAGTTCATTGGTTTTCTCTTATGAAGTGGAAAGCACTTTTCATTGGGTGGATCCTTTAGAATTGTCTTGGATCATTTTCTAGATCAGAGTTTAGCTGCTACTTTTCAAAAGTGATGTCCCCCTCTATCTGAGCCGCTGAGGGCCCCATTGAAAGCTTACATCATATCTACCCACTTTTCCAAGAGATTCTGTATGAAGGAACAAGTAAGATTAGGGATGGACCCAGGACTATAAAACTATAAACTGCCCAAGCTGGAAGAATTAGAGAATACTAGAGATCATTGGTCCAATGCCTTATTTTACAGATTAGGAAACCGGAGGCTTAAGTGATTTACCCAAGGTCACATTGTATTCAGTGGCATACCTGGAACTAGAATAGAGTAATCCTATTCCAGGCAGCTAGATAGATAGATGCAATGGATAGATCACTGGGCTTGAAATCAGGAAGATCTGAGTTCAAATGTGGCATCAGACACTAACTAGCTGTGTGACTCTGGGCAAGTCACTTAACTCTGCCTTAAAGTCCTCATCTGTAAAAATGAGCTAGAGAAGGAAATGGCAAACTATTCCAGTATCTTTGCCAAGAAAATAACATGGAGTCACGAAAAGTTGGACATAACTGAACAACAAAATTCCAGGCTTTATTAGGGCAAACAGTGAACTGGAAGAGATTTATATTTCAGTGGCAGGAAAAATGAGACATGGAGGAAAGAATACCTCCTTCTGATTCCTTAACATGTGCCTCTCACCATTCACCTTTTCAGAGATGGTGGGATTTAGAACTAGAAAGCACCTTAGACATAGAGGCCAGTTTCCTCATCTTACAGGTGAGTAATAGAGAGGGGAAATGATTTATTTGGGGGTATGTAATGCCAGCTTTCTTTTAGGAAAAATGAATTATTATTACTATAGTGCAGATCAGTAGATCACTCAGATATATGAACAGATGTAATTAGATGACTCGAAGGCACTGGAATTGAAAATGAACATAGGAGTTCTTCATCTTATACTTGCCATTCAGCTGTAGTTGTTTCACAATTTTTTAAATGTTCTGGGGCAGCTAGGTGGTGAAGTGGATAGAGCACTGGCTCTGGAGTCAGGAGGACCTGAGTTCAAATCTGGCCTCAGACTCATAACACTCACTAGCTGTGTGACTCTGGACAAGTCACTTAACCCCATTGCCTAGCTAAAAAAAAAAAAAAATGGATGTTCTATAAAATTAAAAACAATTCTTGTATTCATTGAATTTTAATTTCAGGAAAGTTTGCTAGAATGTTTAACCATTATCATGTTTCCAGTGGCTTTCTCTGTTAACCAAAATTTATTTAGGAAAAATAAGCATCCTAATGTCACATAATTAATTCCCATGGTCTTCATACGTGAGTTACTTTCTTCATCTTTACAATGAGGAATGTGGATTAGATAGTCTATAAAGGGTCTGCCAGAGCCAGCTCTTACTAGCTTTCAAGTACATTGTTACATTTTCAGTTTGAGAATTTACACCTCAGTAATCAGCAAACACTACAAATCAGGATTTAATTTAGTGTTTTATTGATTGTTTAGACTTGAGAAAATGATGGAAAAAATGTTTATAATAGAGATAAAATTTAAAAGTGTGTTTTATGTACATTTTT